ATATTTTATTTTTTTATAAATGCATTCAATTTGAATGGTAAAATATATTTTTGCATTATTTGGTAATATTATGTAATTATTAATTAAAATAAATCTGTTTTCTATATTTTTTAATGCATAGTGGCTTTACATGATATACGGACCGATACCGGTCTGTATATATCTATACGGACCAGTATCGGTCCGTATATCCCTGAACAACATCTTTTTCTCTTTTTTTTTCTAAGTTATATTTCGTTAACTTTAAAATTTTTCATGTATAATATAATTAAACTTTTACATATTTTAAGTCATTATTTTAAGTAATTATTTCAAGTATATTTTTATTTTTGTAAATGCATTTAATTTGAATGGTAAAATATATTTTTGCATTATCTGTTAATATTATTTAATTATTAAACAAAATAAAGCTGTTTTGTTTGTGTTTACATGATATATACGGACCGATTCCGGTCCGTATATACATATACAAACCGGTATCAGTCCGTATATTTCCTCAACAGCAGTTTCCCTTCCCCTGTGTTACATTTCGTGAACTTTAAAATTTTTCGGTATATACGGATCTATATTCGCACCGAAACCGGTCCGTATATATGCATACATAATTTAATTTAGTTTAGGATAAAAAATCGCTGGGCTTGCCTATATTCGGACTGATACCGGTCCGTATATATGCATACATAATTTAATTGAGTTTAGGATAAAAAATCACTGGGCTTGCCTATATTCGGACAGATACCGGTCCGTATATATGTATACAGACCGGGATCGGTCCGTATATTCCCTTGAACAATAGCTTTTTATTTTATTTTTTATTTCATTCTTAAGTCGTTCTACTCTCGTTTGAAACTGTAACATTCTGAATGTTTGCAAGCCAAAGTGGTTAACCTAAGTAAAAATAATTAATTTTATTTGCTTATGGATCCGAAAGAGCATTACATAACATTATCTCTAATAACCTTGAACTTATACGTTCATGGTTTTACAACGATATTACTCCGTAGTATCGTAAGATAATTTTAGCTAGACAATCGATGGTTTTGTGGTTCCAAGGGACTGTAGGGTCGAGGTACATGTAATTGGTTTTCGCAGGAATGGATTTAGAACACGAGAAGATGGTAATGTCCTTAAATGAAAAGAATAAAAATGTGCACAGGAAGAAGATTCTGCATTTTTTCTATTATATTCAGACCAAAATCGGTCTGAAAAATGAAAGGCATGGAAGCTTCTAGATTCTTTGCATATATTCAGACCAATACCGGTCTGTATATATTCATACATAATTTAATTTAGCTTATGATAAAAAAATCGCTCGGCTTGCCTATATTCAGACCGATATCGGTCCGTATATATGTATACAGACCGGGATCGATCCATATATGCCCCTGAATAACAGCCTTTTATTTTATTTTTTATTTCATTCTTAAGTCGTTCTACTCTCGTTTGAAACCGTAACATTCCGAATGTTTGCAAGCCAAAGTGGTTAAACCTAAATAAAAATAATTAATTTTATTTGCTTATGGGTCCAGAAGAGGATTACGTAACATTATCTCTAATAACCTTTAACTTATACGTTCGTGGTTTTGCAACGATATTACTTCATAGTATCGTAAGATAATTTTAGCTAGACAATCAATGGTTTTGTGGTTCCAAGGGACTGTAGGGTCGAGGTACATGCAATTGGTTTTCGCAGGAATAGATTTAGAACACGAGAAGATGGTAATGTCCTTAAATGAAAAGAATAAACATGTGCACAGGAAGAAGATTCTGGATTTTTTCTAGTATATTAGGACCAAACTCAATTTGAAAAATGAAAAGCATAGAAGCTTCTGGATTCTTTGCATATATTCAGACCAATAACGGTCCGTATATATATTCATACTTAATTTAATTTAGCTTTAAGATAAAAAAATCCCTCGATTGCCTATATTCGGACCAATACCGGTCTGTATATATCTATACGGACCGTTATCGGTCTGTATATTCCTATGAGCAACAGCTTTTTATTTTTTTTGTTATTTCATGCTTAAGTCGTTCTACTCTTGTTCTAGTATATTCGGACCAAACTCGGTTCGAAATCGGTCCGTAATTAATTTATGCGCCAAATTTTTGCTGTATATTTGAATTTTTTGATTTTGCGCTAATTTATTTATATTCAGATCGATTTCGGTATGAATATGATTAATGCGCCAAAAATTTTCCCAAAAAAATTGAAATTTTTTGGTGTGGCGCGCCAATGAGGATTATACGGACCGATTTCGGTCCGTATAAGTCTTATATATATCACCACTCCTCTTCCGTTTCCTCATTTTCTCTTCTTTCTCTCTTTCTTTTCCTTTCTTCCTCTCTTTCTTTTCCTTTCTTCCTCTCTTTCTTTTCTCTTCTGCCTCCCGTCTCCTTCTTTTTCTTCCTTTTTTTTTTCTACTTCCTTTTCTTTTTCATTTCCTCTCTTCTTTTCTCTCTTCCCTTTTCTTTCTCATTTCCTTCTATTTCCTTTTCTTTCCTCTCTTTTTTCTCTCCACTTCTTCATCTTTTCTTTCCTGTTTTTTTTTTTTTTCAGTT